TATATATATATATATATATATATATATATATATATATATATATTAGGTAATTGTCTAATAATGATAAATATGAAAACGTTTAGATGTTATATATCAATAAATTAATAGAATACATAGTTTTAATATAGATTTTCAACAAACAGTATACGTTGCCATAAAATTTGAAGCTGTAATATAACATTGACATTCAGCTTAGAGGTTTGTTATATTTATAATGCTGTATAATTTATTGAAAAAATAACATTTGTTACAATTAAAATGATTTATCAAAGTGTCTGTTAGTTAATAGCTTGCAGATACAACAAAATTTATAATTGCAAAGATTATTTCTCTTACTAATAGAAGCCTGCTCTAAAAAGTAATGCAGAAATTTAATATCTTTGTTACGTTCAATCTGAGTTATTAAATTCAAATTGTCTTAAAATGAAAAATAAAAAGTAAGCATGCAGTAAGAACATTATAATGTGTTTCATAAATTCGAAGAGAAACAAAGATAATACGCTCGAATTACATGTTAATCAATTTACAAATGAATATAAAATAAGTCTATCCTCTCCCCATATTGCATGTCCGATATATAAACTGGCAATTTATATTTTTTCATGACATTATAATTCTACAATCAGTAAGATAGATTGAGACAACCTTTTTCGTTCATACGCAATATCTACGAAGATTAGGTACGCTAACTTAATTTAGTGACTAGAATAATAATTAATATAGCAACGACTATGATTGCGAGCAATAGTAGGACAAAAATTTTTCGTCGATATTTACTTTGGTAATTACTTCCCTTGATTAATTCTTGAGTTCCTAACTCAACGTTCGCGTGGATATCTTCTATATGGTTATCTATCGTGTCTGCAATAAAAAACATTTATATACAAGAACAGAATATATATATATATATACACATACACATCTTATATAGAAATAGGGCAAAATCACTTACTGATTGAATCTCCTTGTTGATGCACAAATGCTGCTAATTCGCGTATTATTTGGTTTACATCCAAAATATCACCTTCGATCCGTTTTATCCTATCTTCTCTCTCTAACAGTAAGCCTTGTTGAAATTCAAGATTTCTAGACACATTAGACACAAAAAAACAACTTGTAATCTACTTTCTTATTACTTAATAATATATAATCGATAATGTTATTTCACGAACTTGTATTGTGCATTATAATATTAATTCATTAAAATAAACTTACCGTACGTTCAAGTGCATTTTATAACTTCTCTATATTAATAATATAACATGTTGTAATTATTTAATATTTTTTCGGTGAAATTTTTAAATTCAAGCTATTTCGATATTCATACTATAAAATCCACGAATTATGCTCATCGTACAAAAATCATGAAAAAAGCCTATTTGAATTTTTAATAATGTTAATAATGTTAACCACCTTTGAACCCATTGCTTGTGTGCAGACTGTGAGAAATAGTCAAGCTTTTTTCACTACTGACATGTGCAGATACAGTTATGTATATTTATGAAAATGAATATACAGTTTACATTCAAACCTTTGTGTCACTCTGTGCTCGTCCTCTTGAGCTTGAAGTAAACGTTGTTGTTCCTCTTCCTCGGGATCCATAGGATTTTCTATACTAATTGTAAGCAAAATATGTCTCTTCATCTTTTCAGCAATTGACTAGAAATTTCATGAGAAAACAATTATAAGCGCATGATAATGTTACAATTAACTAAGACACAATCAATGAAATATATTTTACCTTCTGCATATCTGAGTATCTTTGCAAAGCATCTTTGAAATCAGTGGTAAGTTTTTCAATTTGCAACTTTTGTTGTTTATCACCTCGCCTCATTAGCACTGTCAGTCTTGCAATGTCTTTGCTCGTTTGAGTCACTACTTGATTTGTGCTTAACTGTGTGACATGCCTTGTAATTAAATAAATGCAAATGTAAATAGAATATAAAATGCTTCAACAGAACATTTTCACGTCGGTAAAAATTTATTGCATTTTAATGAATATCATATATGTTCTAGATTACTCGGCCTTTATTTTACATTTTTCACAATTACTTACACCTTATCTCTTAGACCCTGATTATCTTTATTGGTTCCAACATTTTTATATGCACGTTCAAGCATCCTCCAACTTGTATTTATTGTGTATATGTTAGTGGTAATATTTTCACTGAGGCTATAAAGTTCAGTAGGACTAAATCCTACATCAGGTACATCTGTCCGTTGATCTGTGGACCCATATGTTTGAGAACTGTGAGCCATTCTAAAAATGAACATACATTTTATTATAATTTCACCGTACAAAGTTAAAGAACCTGCAAATATTAACAATAACAACAAACATATGTATTTTGTGTTTTGTCCAACAATCTTTTTACATTTTCGTGAAATAAAAAATGAAATAAATTTTTGTGACACATTTATGAGTAACACTGATATATTATGTATTACCACATATATGAGTCACTATTGTAACTTTATCTTAATAATAATAATAATAATAGTAATAAATATATTTAAATTTTTATATATTCCAATGCATTTACATTAACATGATTTTTTATTTATTCATAATTTTTGTTTAGTTCAAAATGAAAAAGCTTCTAAATTATATATACATACACACACACACACACACACACACACACACAGTTTATCTTACTCTCCCTTATACTGTTAAATATATATATCTTTGTATCTTTCAATGCAATTGTACATAACAAACAATATTTAGACTTTTAAAATTTTCCGTCTATGGCGATATTTTAATAAGTATACGAAAAATACAATGCAAATATTTAGTAAATGTTTTGAAACTGTCGTAAAAATGATACATTAATAAATAGAATCGTATAATATTATATGAACGATATAGCTGTTAGAATCAAAATTTCAGCTGATGTGTATCTCAAAACTCTATCGTGATTATATGCAGCTGAATAGTTATTCAGATCTTTAATGGTATACGACAAATGCATACACGAAAAAGCAAAATTAATGCGAGATAAAAGTACATGAATAAATATATAAACGCCACGTACATGCAGAACAAACCTGAATTATTATCACAAATATTCTTAATATCTAAATATAAATTGCTTTATTAATTTACATTTAAAAATTAAGAGGACTATTTTTATGTATTGAATCTTAGAAACTGACAGTTGCCTAAATGATCTAATCCACCGCCCATGTGACAATAGTCTCTTTGTGTTCGCAGCCGCGATTTCAACAGATTCCTAGATTATCAACGTTTCGTACTTTTTAAGTTCAGACACGATGTCTGCAAACAACATGAACATAATAAACAATAAATAAAAATAAATTTATTCTTTGATAGTAAATTATTAACAACGCAACGTGCGTTCTCCGAATTTCAAACTAGTTTCTACTACAAAAGGAATTTAATGTAGTCTGCCGTGTCTACAACACCGTCTAGATACCACTAGATTCAAAACACTATTTTGCTGATATCATCCCGTTGTGTTGTAACACGAAAATACGAAGCGTAATTTTTTATATAAAGAAATTAATCTCTGCCAGAAAATTTATTATTAAAATAGACAAATACAGATATTAATCAACTATAAAATTATTTTTTATCAATTCATGGAAATGAGAATGTCTGGAATACCGTCTTATATATTACTACCACCAGGATCAAAAATAGAATTATTGATACATTTATTTCAATATATTTTCATCTGTTTAACGCAGTGAACGATGAGGAAAATTGATAATAAAATTTTTGCATCGAATAGTCGAATCAGTTAATGAGTTACGTTTTGCGGAACTGCAGGTTAGTTGCATGGCGGACATTGGCTTGACAAGACGTACGGCACGGAAGTTCCCGAGTACGACCGACTAATTGCGAAAGCCTTCAGAAACAACAACCGTCGGCCGTAAGTAAACGCTATTGTGATTTCTCATCGTTTTATTCGCAAATATTATACATTATTGACCGCCTGCCTGTCGCGATAGCGAATTTAACGCTAGATTACCACATTGTGCGCATATTTTTGATAGAAAGTCCGACGAGAAGTCGGAAAATTTCGTAGAATTTTCTCGAGGGTTGCTTCCGAGTCAATACAGCTCGTACATAGGTCGTCGTGCGTCATGTCGGTTCTGAACTCGTCTTCCATTTCGTCGATTCCCCGTCGCGACGTTTCACAACCTCGTATCTCGCTGTAACTGCGAAATTTTTTCGCTCAGCCGACCAGTTTTCGCTCGAATAGCAGTAAAATCGAGCAACGTGCGAGTGGTAATCGAGTGTTGTTCGCGAACATCTACGCAACTTCCACTTTTGACATTTTCATCGGCGTGACTTTTGGCATAGGTTCGTTTCCTTAGCTCGCAGCATGTTTTCCACCGTATTCTCGGCTGTATTTTATTCCAAGTAATTTTTTTTTTCTTTTTTTTTTCTTTTTTTTTTTCTTTTTTTTTTCTTTGCAAACTCTAGCCAGGAAAGTAACGATTTCCGACGAGTTTATGGTAAAATCCCCTCCACTGTGTCGTGCCCCGTTGTCTCGCTTCTTTTCAAACGAGGTTTTGAAATTAGTACGTTTCCTCGATTGTTGATCACTTTCTGCTCAGTTGCAAAATCGACTTGTTTATTTTAGAGAGAGCTATGCATGCTGCTTACGTCAACCGTTCTTTCAACGTTACTCTATTCCTTTGCTCGCCTTTCGATCAACCGTGTTTCTTTATTTTTTTCCAAGTTTCAGGTTAACTATCACGAAATTCATTCTTGACATTCTCCTGATCGTCCGTTTCGATTTTACAATTGACGACCTCTCACACCTTCCTTGAACGGAATCACAAATAATTTTCTATGATAAATAATTTTCTATTGTATCGCTTCTTACGAATTGGAGCGGCAACCGCTATGGTTCGTACGCCCATATTGGACCCTATTTTATTAAATCGGAATTTAAACATTTGGCTTTCCATTTTGTTCGCATTGTTTGGTTATACAAATTTCTCGGAAACGGAAATATATATTTTTGGACAGTTCCACGAACTTGATCGATGTAATCGACTCATGGGAAAGGACAAAGTGTTTTTGTTCGTTGAAAGAATTGCGAGATCGAAGGGTCGTAACAAGTCTAGAAATTTTTCTCTAATTAATTTATTGTGCTTCTGTATAAGTTATGAAGAAAAGTGCTTGCTTCGACGTATTTTTCGCCGTTCGTTACGTTTTGGTACATTCGTTTTACGATGGATACAGAGCAGGCATGTAAACATACGTATGCACGAACCACACACACATGTATTCATCGATCAATGTGGCACGCACACGCATAGGCGTGAACAGAATCAACCAAGCGTACACTGTCTCATTTGTGATGTTTCGGAATTTCTGTAGCCACGTAGTCTTGGATTAATTTTTATCAAAATACGTGGTTTTTATATTTTTCATTTTT